TGTCCTGCAGAGTGCCAAGTAGTCCTTCAGGGAGCCCATGTCCCTCAGTATCCTGTAGTCCTTCAAAGAGCCCCTTGTCCCTCATAGTGTTCTGTAGTCCTTCAGCAGATCCCATGTCCTGCAGAGTGCCAAGTAGTCCTTCAGGGAGCCCATGTCCCTCAGTATCCTGTAGTCCTTCAAAGAGCCCCTTGTCCCTCATAGTGTTCTGTAGTCCTTCAGCAGATCCCATGTCCTGCAGAGTGCCAAGTAGTCCTTCAGAGAGCCCATGTCCCTCAGTATCCTGTAGTCCTTCAAAGAGCCCCTTGTCCCTCAGAGTGTCCTGTAGCTCTTTAGAAAGCCCCCTGTCCCTCATAATGTTCATCACAACATCCTCTTGTATCTTACATCATCTGTCCTTACAATCCATCAGTAAGCAGCTGAAATGTTGGACAGTAACCATGCCTGGCATTTTAGAGGACATGCTGCTATCTGAGTTCATGTCTGTGTGCGTTTTTAGTGGAGACACAGCTGCGTGTGAACGAGCTTGATGACTACATGCATGCTCGCTTCCCCAGCTGGAACAGACAGCCTCTGAAGAAGCAGAACAGTGCAAATATGCCCCCCCCCCCCATTGTGTCAGGTATGTCTTGTCATACCAGATCCCTATTGGCGGAGACATTTGGAGTATCGATGCAGTTGTGGTGTGTTCCTAGTTCTCCCACAGTGCAACTGAAAAGCAGCCATTCGGGTTATTAAACATTATTTGAATGGTCAAATTTATAGTCATGTGTATGTATTGTTGCTTCTTGGTCATGTGGCAATAAAGATTCAGTTTCTATTACTGAGGCTGTGTGGCAGCACGCTACTTCATTACCCTCAGCAGATGTGTGTAGATGTAGGCACAGGGTGAAAGGTCACTTGTGGGGGTTATAAGGAGTGAATGCAGTTCTGTAAGTGTCCAGCAGGGGTCAGTGGCACTCATAGCTCCGGGTGCAGGTACAAGTGCTGGGAAGATCCCCCCACCCACCGATGCCTGAAGTGGAATATTCTTCATGCATGCGTCTCCTCCTCCTGTCTCCATTTGAAACAACAGTATCTCTATGACGATAGTGAGGTGTGAGGGGAGCGTAGGCGGTGGGGGCGACGATTTGGTGGCTATGGTGGGGGGGGGGAGAGGGGAGGTTGGTTCTGGCTGCCAGGGAGGGGGATTTCCTTTTTTTGCGCAGAGAGACAATCTTCTCTGGGAAAAAAAAAAGTTGTAACTTCTTAATTTCCAAACCCTGCAGAGGGAGGGACAGAAAGAGGAGGAGAGAGGGAGAGGAAGAGAGAGAAGGAGAGCACCAGTGTTCCGGCGTTGCTAGGAGACATAGAATTCATTAAGTGTGAGGCGTGGGATATCCACCCACTTCCCATTGACAAATCTGAGGCCCGATCAACAAGGACGCGTCAGAGGCCTGCGCGGGTTCCACAGGACGCTCCCAGCCGTGGATCGGTCATTAAGCTGGAGCTTCAGCCCCCCGCCTGAATCTCTCAGTCCCTCATTCTCCTGCATCATGTCTTCCAGTCAAATCAGTCAAATTTATCAGCAAACAACTCAGAAGAGAGGTGCCATACTGCCAAGGCGTCGCAGAACAATACGGGAGAATATTAACAGTAACAGATATTAGTGATGTAAATGTTGACTCGGAAGACATATTCTTGTGTATTGTCATGTTTGCTTTTATTTTAATAGCTGGGCTTCTTGTGATAACAATACATCTCCTAGAATATCGAGGCAGCGTGTGACATGCCGTTTCCATTGCTTTCTGCAGCCTCTTACCAGCGACCTCGACAACATCCCCCACGACTTAGAAGTTTATATAACTAAATTGAAGCTAAAAAATCCTGCTTTGATGACTCTGATTTCTCATTGGTCCGGTGAAGATTTCCTTGCCCTTGACCAGTCATTGTCATTAATAGTCTTGTTGATCTTCATTGCACTGTCACGTCATGCAGCTTTACCCTGAAAAGTTGCCTTTCATGCGGTTTGTGAAATCCATTTAAGGGGTCGCCAGAGACTGAGTGTGACTTTGACGCGGGTGCAGGTTTTTGGTCTTCAAACGTCCTGTCCCGAGGGTGGTTGAAGAATGCAGATAAGACTGGATTTGAAGGCCACAGATGATCATAAGCCAGTTAAGAAAAACCTGGAAACCAGTCAAGTCCTCGTTGGTCAGCAATGATTCAGAGAGACTCCCATCAATCTGGCAACCCTGCTGAGAATCTCACTTGTGAAGTGTTTTTGATGCTTAGAGAATCTCAGGTATTATCATTGTACTTACACGAGAGCCACAGATCTGTGAAAGAGCTTCCTGTCACCTTTGATGTTTGCTCGAGTGAATTACACCATTAGAAGTGATGGAAATTCAGGCCTTGGATATTTTTATACTTTGGATGCTGTCAAGGTTCCCTGCAAAGCTGACTCAACCAGTTGCTATGGAGATGCCTCTCTTGACAACGTGACTGTAAAAAGAAATGTACGTACAGTTCTGGAGCGATACACAGTGATGCCGCCGTGCCTGAATTAGCATCATGTGATCCCAGCAGTTTAATGAGGTCCACGTCTGTGGCAGCAGGGGAACTGAACCCAGAGCGTACAGTAAGGGAGCCACAGAGTAAGGGACCTGCAGAGTAAGAGAGCCACAGAGTAAGGGGGAGCCGCAAAGTAAGAGAGCCACAGAGTAATGGGGAGCCGTGGAGTAAGAGAGCCACAGAGTAAGGGGGAGCCGCAAAGTAAGAGAGCCACAGAGTAATGGGGAGCCGTGGAGTAAGAGAGCCACAGAGTAATGAGGAGCCGTGGAGTAAGAGAGCCACAGAATAAGGGGGAGCCCCAGAGTAAGAGAGCTACAGAGTAAGAGGGAGCTGCAGAGTAAGGGAGCCCCGCAGAGTAAGGGAACTCCAGAGTAAGGGAGCCGTCATATTCTCGCATTTTACTTCCTCTCTCCTTGGGCTCAGACTGCTGTTACAGCTTTCACTCCTCAGTTTGCATTCGGTCTCCATAAAACTCCTGTCTCACTTTTTGGCAACAGATTCTAAACTCATGACTGATAATGGAGGAATCCTCTGTTCATCCGCTTGTCTTCCTGTCAGTCTTTTTGCCGTATTTCAGTCTAGCTGCCTCCTTTTTCGACTTGTGCGTATCCTTCTCCGACTCTCCTATTAGCACACCTACCTGCCACACCTGCTTACATCTCCCTCTCTCCCTTGGCTGGCTGAGGCCCCTCCCTCACAGCCTCGCTCTGTAAGCTGTAACCTAGTTGGACACATCAAGAACTTCCTGCCAATAATAGCTCCTTTTACATCAGAGCGTGAGAGTGCTTCTTCGGCATGGGCAGAAAGAGCACTTTGTATGGGTTGATAGTGCAGGATTGTCATTGACCAGTTATCCAGGGGTCTGTATGTTGGGGGGCAGACTCAGGGAAGGGTGTGGTGGTTAAATCCCCCAGCCCCCAACCCGAACCCCACAAGGCCTGAGATCATGTAGCACCAGGGATGGGAGCGAGGGAACAAAGAACTTCCTGTTTAGTATCGTGGGCCTGAATGCAGAGCTGGCTAATTGGGGGCCAGAGGACACCGAGTTTTTGTTTGTTGCCTTCCTGTAGGAGAGACAAGGTCGGCAATGTCTCTCCTCTCTTAAGGACAGAGAGAGAAAGCCGTGATGCTGTGAAGGTCTGTGAGGGGCTTCATCTCTGCAGGAAGGGCTGAGGGCTGCGTCGGGACCACAGGTGCATGAATGCTGCTGGTGGACGGGAACGCACTGATCGATGGCACCGGCCAGGATCACACCTTACTGGTCCTCTGGCTCATCAGTCCCTGAGGTCCAGCTGTACTGCGGGTATTCAGCTGTCGTGGAGGGTTTTTGAGTCATGTTTGTTTAGGGTTTGCGAGTCCTGCTGGATTTCTGAAGAGGTATGGTGGTTGGGCAGGGGGATAGAGTGTTCTTCTGGATGGGGGGGGGGGGGGGGGGAGGGGTGTTTTGTTGGGGGGGGGGGGGGGGGGACCGACTTTTTGTCTACTCAGAGAACTGCAGT